TACTGACTGATGATCACTGGATCCTAAACTTTCACCTACAGTAATATCTGATACCAAATCTCCATTTGTTAACACTAAATCTAGTATGGCCTCTTTACTTTGTTTGTGATTTGATATATTTATTTTGTGCCATAACCAGTACTCTTGGTGAATGAGGTCTTATGATATTGTGGTACTTGAGATATGTTAGAAATTTTTTTTTAAATTGAACACGTGAATTAACAGACCAATTCTTGTTGTTTGGTCTCTTGGGTGTAGGGTGAAAGTGTTACTCAGATAATATTCCTGATTTCCTACTGGGGAGAGAGAATTGGAGAGAAGATAAAAAAGATTGCCAACTGGTGAGTGTGTGCATCTGTTGTTTATTCGATCATAGTTTGCATGTTTCTTCAATTTCTGTCATGTTTTGGGTTTTTAGCTTTCATTGTCACATATACCCGTATGCTGATGAAGAATCTGCTCGTTTGGAGACGCTGAGAGACCTTTTGGTGCAAATCCAGGACATGCAGAAGGTAAGATGGCAATTTGTAGTAGATAAAACGTGTGTGGGTCAGAAACAAATATAATCAAAATGTTCTTGTTCTAATGTATGGACCTAGTTGTTGCTGTTTGATATTTTTATTGGAAGTGTTCAGTTGTCACCCCACCTTGGCCTCTATAGTTCAGGTAAACCTGAAAACCCACACAATCTGTAAGAATGCTTACCAGGAAGACTGGTTTGATTGGTAGTGTATTTGGAGAGTGTCCCTTTTAAGTGCAAATTGAAGCTCTGTTACTAGACGACTGAAGAGGTTCTGACACCAGGCTGCCAATCAGAGGTTTGTATGTGGCCACAAATATATGGCCACAAAAATACATTTATTTATTTTTTAAGAAGTTGTGTCGTAGAATTTGCAGAGATACTTCCACAAAACATTCTGTTTTCAGATGTGGACTCAAGTAAATGCCTTGAATTAAAAGCTAGCTTATTGCCAGTCACCGACGTCAAGAATAGACTCTAGGTAAATACAGGAGACTGTCTTTGGTGAAGCAGGACTATACTGAATATAAAATTAGTCAACCAGGATATTGATCGAAAGAGATATCTGATTGCCTTTTATGGAGTCAAGATTGATTTATTTTGCCTTTTTTTTTTTTTTAATTTTTTTTTTACATTATTGGAAATGGCTACATTTGGGGTTTTTGCCCTCTTTTGGATCATAAAATAATGGGTTTTATGGTTGAACTTAATGGACTTTAGTCCCTTTTTTTTTTTTTTTCCAACATAGACAATTATGTAACTATGTAATAAGTTTATTGTAATACAAGCTTATTTTATATGTTTATTATTGCAAGGCACCACTGGATCTAAAACATTTTATCTATAATCTAATTGCATGATGACAGTTAAGTGTATAAGCCAACAAGGGGGGAAAAAATGAATTGATCATGAGATTGGAAGAAAACAAACTTTGCATTTACTATCAGCCAGTTACTTAAAGGGAACCGAAAATTCTATAGACAACACACTGAGCATAGCTACAAGAAGACCTCGTTTATCAAATAACTCAGGAATTTGGAATAATAATAACAAAGTATTTAACCAGGAAAGGTACGTCCTGGGGATGTTTCCTTAGCCCACCATCCAGGGAATGCCTGAAATATATTTGTTGGAGCCAAAATAATGGTTATTTACAAAAGTGAGAATTGTAAGGTATTCAAAGTGAATTAAATGTTCAGACCAAAAAAGCTGAATTGGTAAAATTCTCCAAGTCAGCTATGATTTGAGTTCTGCTGTTTTGGTCTGAACATTTGGTCTGAATTTGAACTCCACTTTGAATTCTCAACAATTCCTTTAGATTCGAAAGACTTCTAGGCTCAGATTGCACAGCAAACTAGATAATCTAGGAGTACTGAAATCCATCCAAAATTCCCCCTTATGCAGACTTTAAATAGTGTGAATAATGTATTGATTTTGCAGTCCAGGTGCCCCTGAATTAATCCAGACTTTTGCAAAAGACATGGGGCATTTAAACTTAAGTGAATAATACCCATTATCATTACAATATCTATGATATTGATACACTCTTGTTGGCAATTCTATTGACCTTTTAGAAGGTCATCTAGAGTAACAACCTTCAATTTCTACGAGCATTCCACTCCAAAATCCAAAAGTGTATGTGTCCCTTATCTGTTCATGTCACTAAAGATTGACCATGTATGAGATGCATGTAAGAAAAATCACCAAAATATAGAATATATGTATTCTACATCCTTCCTTTTTTGTATACCGTAAATATTTGTCTACTTATCTTGTGCGATTTAGTATTACTGGGAACTTTGGGGGAATGTATGATTTTGTAGGGAGAGCACATAAGGAGGGTGCTATCTGCTTCTCTACCTGGCCTAGGGAGGATGAGTGGTGACAATCATTGTATTTTGAGTCAATGGAATGTTTTCATGCTTGGTGTTTTTGGTTTCCTGTAGGTCCTTTCTCAGACCGAGAGTTACCAGTCACAGGTTCTAAATCGAGCTGCTTCTTCTCTGCACCACTGGAGAGTCAGTGTGAGAAAAATGAAGCACATCTATCTTATCCTGAATTTGTGCAGTGTGCGTGAGCGCTGTCTCATTGGTGAAGTGTGGTGTCCTGTGAATGACCTACCCGTTCTCCAGGGAGCTCTAGCCAGAGCTTCGGTGAGTCTGTTTTTGCGATATTTCTCATTGTATGTTTGGTAAAGTACTAAATGTTTTGGAAGTAATCTGGACCTTTTTGAGGCATAATCCACAAATTACATTAAAAATATATTTTAGATTACTAGTCTCATTGTAAAAAAATGCAATCTAAATAGTGCACATTTTTCTGTGCAATTTACTATGTAGAACTATTTTCATTTACAGGAAGACAGTGGAGGTGGTGGAGAATCATTCTGTCATCGGATTCCATGTTCTGTCAGTCCTCCAACTCTTATTCGCACTAATAAATTCACTGCAGGTTTTCAAGAAATTGTTGATTCCTACGGAGTGGCTAGTTATCAAGAGGTCAACCCAGGTGTGTCCTTGTTAGTGTTTACTTTCACTTTCTACACTTCCTGTCATACCAAGACCAGTTTACAGAGGTAGAAAAGTGGAACGCAAAAAGCACACTCTTCCTGAACACTGACAAAACTGTCACAATGATCTTTGGAACAGTACCTAAATTACACAATTCCCACCTATCCATCAAAACAAATTCAAATGGCACACTGACCGCAGTCCATTCTTTCAAATACTTGGGTATGATGTTAGACCCCAATCTATCTTTTGGCCTCCACATAGAAAAGCTTGCATCTAAACTTTATCCAAAACTAGGTGCCCTGTACAGAAACAAATCCTGCCTAAGCCCTACAGTAAAGAAAACGATTGTACTGCAAATGCTGATTCCAATCATTGATTATGGGGATGTAGTATCTGCATCGCAATCCCAAATTAATAAACTCAACACATTGTATAACTCGTTCTGCTGATTTGTGCTACAATGTAATTACAGGACTCACCATTGTGACATGCTAAAAGAACTAAACTGGCTGTCGCTTGAATCCAGACGCACCCTTCATCTTTCCAGCCTTGTGTTTAAGAGCTTTTCTGGGAAACTCCCACCCTACCTGAACACAATGCTTTCCTCAGCTGTTCCCACTTCCTATAACCTCCGATCCAGTACCAACACTTTACTTAGACTACCTCAATACAAAAAGAAAGCAGCCTGATCCTCCTTCTCCTATAGAGCACCGCAATTGTGGAACGACCTCCCGCACAATTTAAAATCTTCCCTAAGCTTAAAGTCCTTTAAGAGATCCCTCTCTACATACCTCAAAACAGAATGCACGTGTCATGGTCGATTATATATTTCCTGCCTGTTCTATGTTCAATTTTGTATTTATTGTGTATTAATGTTGTTGTTTTTGTATTTTATTGTACCCTAATTGTAACAATGCAATGATTTGTGGACCCAGGACATACTTGAAAACGAGAGAAATCTCAATGTATCTTTCCTGGTAAAATATTTTATAAATAAAGGAAATACCTATGTTCTTGTTGCTTAAAACAATGTTGATGTTCTTGCAGCATTGTACACGATCATAACATTCCCGTTCCTTTTTGCTGTGATGTTTGGTGATGTTGGACATGGTATCCTTATGTTTCTATTCGCTCTCTGGCTAGTTCTTGGGGAGGACGACCCAAAACTTAAACGCTCAGAGAATGAGGTGAGAAATGTCATGAAACTAAAATGTTAAAGGGAAATGTAGGCAGTTCTGTTAGAATTTTCTCCATATATTTTTCTTTCTGTTTCAGATTTTTTCTATGTGTTTTGGTGGTCGTTATCTTATCCTCCTGATGGGTGCCTTCTCTGTATACACAGGGTTTGTGTATAACGAGTGTTTCAGCCGTGCAACTTCAATTTTTCCTTCCGGATGGAATGTTACATCCATGGCATATGATAATAATGACTTGCAGTGAGTAAAACTTAGTCTCTGTATACACATGCTTCTTTACCTGCTTTCTATTGCCTAACTTTTATCTTTAAATGTATTGTTTAGTAAGGCATTTAAGGCAAAGTCTCCTGTGGATCCACTGAACCCAAACATGACTGGTGTCTTCATAGGTGTATATCCATTTGGCATTGATCCAGTAAGTTTCTTGTATAAATCAATTGCATCTTTATTTGATTTGTTGTGGGGTGTGTAAATTTTTTTTTTTTTTTTTTTAATTGTTGTATAATTTCTTCCTTTTGTTTACAGATTTGGAGCCTTGCCTCAA